AATGCCACCCCACCCCCCTTCCCGATACTTCTATCTACTTGGAACAATTTAAAACCCTGAATGTGACATTCCGCAGGCATGTCCCGACTTTTTGAATTAAACCACGTCTCAGTTAAGGCAAATACATCAATGTTACCTGCACTAGCAACTAATCTCAACTCGTCCATCTTATTCCTAGCACTATGGCTATTAGCATAATAAACATTGAAAGACTCTCCTTTCTCTTTACCCTTCCTGCTCATTTCTGTTTTTCTACTAAACCTATTACTGTCCTTATCACCCAATGTCACTGGCTTTTCAATATCTACCTCGTTCTGCTTATTACTAGTTCCCCTAGAACTTCACTAGGAGTTCACTATTTTCCTGCCAAAACCCATACCACTAACTATTCCTAGTTTAAAGTCCTAACAGCTCCCTCCACTGCAGTTGCCAGTGCTCCCACCCCAGACCTAGATAAGTGAACCCCATCCCTGGCATACATGTCATTTCTGGCATAGAAGAGGTCCCAGTTGTCAATGAATGTTACCGCATTTTCCTTACAGTATTTGTCCAGCCAGCAATTGACACCAATTGCTCTGGACAACCATTCATTTCCAACTCCTCTCCTTGGCAAAATACCACATAAGACAGGGTTCCCACCCTTCCTCCTAATTATTTCTATTGCTGACCTATACCTGCTAATCAGGTCTTCACTCCTACGTCTGCCAACATCGTTGCCTCCAGCACTGAGACAGATAATAGGATTGCTCCCATTACCTCTCATGATGTCATCCAGATGGCTAACAATATCCTCCATCCCAGCCCCAGGAAAGCAAACTCTCTGTCTCCTACTCCTGTCCTTCAAGCAGAACGCCCTATCCATTATACCTAACTTGGCTATCCCCAACAACAACAATATTCTTACCTTCCTTGGTGTCGTTCGTCGTGACGTTCCCAGTAGTCGACTCACATTCGTCAGGTAGCACTGAAAATGTATTAGATGTTTCCACAACAGTTTCCACGGCAGTCTCTTTCTTCTTCATCGTTTCTATCTTTCCATTCGTCTTCTTGATCGTCAACTTCGTTCCCTGCTGTCCGGCCACTGACCAGTTTCCTTTCTTGACCTGAGGACTCAAAACAGGAGGACTACTACGAATCTTCTTGTTTTCCTCGGTCAGTCGCCGAATCTCCATCTTCACCATCCTCAATTCTTCTTTAAGCTGTTGGTAAAGTTGCTCGATGGAGGGCATCTTGCTTCAATTCGTAGAGCGCGCGCAAACAGGTCTTCACAGAGCTAAGTACACGTCACCACTGAGCTAAGTACACGTCACCACTGAGCTAAGTACACATCACCACTGAGCTAAGTACACATCACCACTGAGCTAAGTACACATCACCACTGAGCTAAGTACACATCACCACTGAGCTAAGTACACGTCACCACAAGGGGTCACAATTGGAAGTTGAAGACCCTAAAGAGTCAAAGGGATGTTAGGAAGTATTTCTTCAGTTATAAAGTAGTCAGGAAGTGGAATAGCCTAGCAAGTTATGTAGTGGAGGCAGGAACCATACATAGCATTAAGATGAGGTATGATAAAGCTCATGGAGCAGGGAGAGAGAGAGGGGACCTAGTAGCAATCAGTGAAGAGGCGGGGCCAGGAGCTGAGTATCGACCCCTGCAACCACAATTAGGCGAGTACAATTAGGTGAGTACATCTGTCCTTGAACCTAACATTAATGGTAATTCTACCAACATTATAAGCTAGCTGTAACTCAGGGTAAAATAACGTTAGTCATGTTTAATTAACCTCACATAACAAGCCTGTTAAAAAAATCATGGAACGGGGTGGGGGGGGGGGGTCTTGAACTAATGGCAAGATATAAAAAGAAAACATGATTAGGTTAAGGTTTGTCAGTCATCAGGACAAGTGTTTCCTGACGCGGGTCTTAGTTTATGACGACCCACGGCTGGAGCTTTTGGTCATATGACCGAAGCCTTTCACTGGCTTACCAGCCTACTCCTTTAAAAATTATGGTTATGATTATAACCGGACAACAAAAAAATATGAATGTTGCTTACCAGTGAGTGAAAAAGTTGCTGGAGGTGGAAAGAGCTGTAAAACCGTGCTCTGGCTGCTCTTAACTGTTTGGTACGGAGGATCGAGCCTTCACATCACAATGACCCACACAGGTTTACTTTTCCACAGTTACATTACACAACAGCAGATCTATCAGGTGTGAATTATTATAATTATAACTACGCGCTAAACCCACAAAGATCCATCAGGTGTGAAGTCTATCCACTGGATGTGTCGCCTCCACACCACCAGTCAGGAAGATGAACGAAAAATAGGCATTAAAGTTAACTTCCAACGTATATACACCCAGATATACACACCTTAAGATATATGCAACCTTGTTGGTCTAGCTAACGTCTGTAAATTCAGTAATAAATCAGTATTTCTCTATTTCTGAGAGAGAGAGAGAGAGAGACAGTGTGTCGACACAGCAGCTGTGATCACACTGTGTGGTCAAACTCATGTACCGAACCTCTCAATCTTATGGTTCACTTTCATGAACCACCTCTCTGCAACAAATTTCTTTAACCTCCCTAATTACGAAACCCCTACTAGGAGAGCATACTCACTGAAATTCCAAGCGCTTTCGTGACTACTCACATTATCAAGGAACTATTAAAGTAAAGCATCCAAGGAAGCTATATAAGGGGTCTGGCCAGCACCTCACTATCAGATCCCACAACGGCGGCGACCCAACTTGGATAGGTCCCTTGCAAAATTCCAGCCCCATGCTATTTACCCAAGAAACATTCAAGGAAATTAAGGTCTGGCAGCACCTCACATCAGATCACACTTTTTAAATTCGCGCGCGACCAACTTGGATAGGTCCCTTGCACAACTCACCCCAGCTATTCTACCAAGAATTGAAAATTACACTGGACAAATATAATTTTAAATTTTCGTTGGGTCGAATAGCTTGGGGGTGATGTGCAAGGACCTATCCAAGTTGGGTCGGCGCGCTTCACGTGTTTAACCGTTTGGGATCTGATAGTGAGGTCTGGCCAACCCCTTATATAGCTTCCTTGGATGCTTTACTTTCATAGTTCCTTGATAATGTGAGTAGTCACGAAAGCGCTTGGAATTTTTCTATTCTTTAGATTTATTATTTCATATATATATATATATATATATATATATATATATATATATATATATATATATATATATATATTATTAACGATATAGCATATAGAAATTATAAAAATTAATTATTTTTATACCGAAAGTTTGTACACATAAATTACCGAGTACAGACTCGATAAGAACACTGTACCCAGTTAGGTCATCTCATCGAAATGTTTCGCCATAGTCGGTAGCATTCAACAGTCCATCCAGTATGTACTGAGTGTGAAGTTCATACTGTCCCTTGAGATATTTGAATCCCCCCATCCTGAGATTGTGCCTAGTCTAGCATGTGCAACTGTTCCATCCACAGTAATTATGGTTTGTAAATGTTCCACCTCAGTATTGTGGGATATTGTGAATTGTTTCCGTCCAGTATTGTGGGTTAGTTGTGAATTGTTCCATCCACAGTATTGTGGGATGTAAACTGTTCCATCCTCAGTATTGTGGGTTAGTTGTGAATTATTCCATCTTCAGTATTGTAGGTTAGTTGTAAATTGTTCCATCCTCAGTATTGTGGGATGTAATTGTTCCATCTCAGTATTGTGGTTAGTTGTAAAATTGTTCCATCCTTTCAGTATTGTGGGTTAGTTGTAAATTGTTCCATCCTTAGTATTGTGGGTTAGTTGTGAATTATTCCATCCTAGTATTGTGGGTTAGTTGTAAATTGTTCCATCCTCAGTATTGTGGGTTAGTTGTGAATTGTTCCATACACAGTATTGTGGGTTAGTTGTGAACTGTTCCATCCTTAGTATTGTGGGTTAGTTGTGAATTGTTCCATCCACAGTATTGTGGGTTGTAAATTGTTCCATCCTCAGTATTGTGGGCTAGTTGTAAATTGTTCCATCCACAGTATTGTGGGTTGTAAATTGTTCCATCCTCAGTATTGTTGGCTAGTTGTAAATTGTTCCATCCTCAGTATTGTGGTTTTAGTTGTGAATTGTTCCACTCACAATATTGTTTGTTAGTTGTGAATTGTTCCATCAACAAAACTGTATATTGTTAATTGTTCCATCCAGATAATTGTGGGTTATAAATTGTTCCAAGAGCATTATAGTTTATGAACTGTTCCAACAGAATTGTGAGTGATTCCACCCTGAACCCTTCCAGGGCACTGCCTTGATGCTCTGGTTAAAGGATCTTGATCCAAGGAGTTGAAGCTACCCTCCTTTTCCTCGGATCAAACCAAATTGCCCTACACTTACACAGAGGGTCCCTGTGCTCAGAGGTATCCCTTGTGTTTTACACAGAGACAAGCCCTGGCTTATACGGGGTCCGTTCACAGAGACAAGCCCTGGCTTACACATAGTGGTCCCAACACTTGCAACAAGCCCTGGCTTACACATAGTGGTCCCAACACTTGCAGACAAGCCCTGGCTTACAAAGAGTGGTCCCAACACTTGCAGACAAGCCCTGGCTTACACATAGTGGTCCCAACACTTGCAACAAGCCTTGGCTTACAAAGAGTGGTCCCACACTTGCAACAAGCCCTGGCTTATCACATAGGACTCAAAATAAGTGGTCAAAATTCTACTAACTCCCTACAAGAGTGAGGGACTGAACTACTTCAGATCACTCTCGTCGTTACAGTGTCCAACCTGATTAATACCTGGTTATCGAGAGGAATGCCTACAGCAGCAGGCCCTGCAGTTTGCCATATAATGTCTCTATCTCACCAATAGAAATATCCTATCATGGACATAGACCGGATATATGGGAATCCATTATCCATAATGTTAATCCAATAAATAATCCATCAATGATCAACAAATTTTAATAATAGTCATAACACTCTATAACAGATAAAGTTTATTCACAAATTTGAGAGAGTTACATAGTATCACATGTCAAGAAAGGTCTTCCTTACTGAAAGGCATTAGGACATATAATCTGAGAGAGAAAAAGGCCAATTATATCTTCCCTACATATACCACGATATGTAACAGATCTCTTGCATGCCCTAGTGCCGTTATAGAGTCACTCGATTGATTTATACAAAAATAAGTCATTTGTTTTTTTTTTTTGAGGTGATACGGTACATACAATGTACAAATTGAATATCCTTAGAAGAAGGATTTTATTAAGAGGAATATTAATAATGATAATATTTGGCATCTGAAGGGATCAAAGAGAAGAGAATATTATACATTTTGAGCCCAGAAAACGGGATCGAGAAAAATGAGAAGATGGTAGAGGCTTAGAGGAACATGGCAGTCGGGCTAGGCTGCAGGCTTGACATGAAGGTGAGCATGATACGGTGGGAAATCCTACAGGCTTGGCCTACAGACTAGTAGGACACCTTGACTAGTCCTGTAGACTAAGTTTATCTTAATTGCTGTGTTGCCATCCACTGGTCTCGTGGTCCTTTAAGCCAAAGACCATCTTCCCACAGGACAAGTATTCTTAAGTCCAGTTGAAAGCTTGAGCGTGTATTTGTGTATGTGTGTGTGTGTGTGTGTATTTGTGTATATGTGTGTGTGTGTGTGTGTGTGTGTGTGTGTGTGTGTGTGTGTGTGTGTGTGTGTGTGTGTTTTGTAAATAAAACAGTGTGGCTTATGACGATTCATTGTAAAAACGTTTCTTCCACCAGGGTGAATTGATAACGTCCCTGGTGGGCGAAACGTCTTCACAACTGCCATAACCCCCAATGTGTGTCTTATTTACATATGTCGGTATAGTCTACCATTGCATTACCAGATGAGAGCTTCTTATAAACTCGAAATACATTAAAATTTCTTGCGAGACCCCTCAAAAACGAGCCTCGGGTAAAAGTTAACAACTTTGGTATGATGAGGAAGTGAAATGTAACCAGTAACTTATAGAAACAGGTACAAATTGTAGCACGAAAACGTTAATCTTGGTGAACTCTCGTCTCAAGAACCGCGACAAAGATCGTGTTAGGTTAGGTTAGGTAAGGTTTGTCAGGAAACAGGACTAGTCAACCCATGGTACGGGTGGGGTTAGAACCCACGGCGAGTGAGTCCTAAAAATTGAAACCCCACATCCGTGGTCTGTTGACAATCGTGTTATTACGATTTCGCGAGTCAACAGGACAAGTGTTTCCTGACGCGGGTCTTAACTCATATGATGACCCACAGCTGGAGCTTTTGGTCACCTGACCGAGTCCTTCAGCTGGCTTACCGGTCCACCCCTTTAAAAATTAAGGTCATAGTTATAACCATAGTATTTAGATCGTGTTCTCAAGGTCGCAACTCAACGCAAACACTGACGTTACTTGACGAAAAGATTCCGGTAACTCAAGATGAATAAAATACAAAAAGTAAAAGTTAGAGAAAATAGCTATTCTGAGAAGGTGGTTTTGAGAGTAACATTAGATGTGTATTTGAAAGGGAGGGGGAATAGGCATCGCTGGGGGAGGACGAAATGGGATTTGTTTGAAGAGGTTGGAATATGACCTGGGATGAATTCGCTAGACGATGCACTAAATTAGCCAGCACCTCTGTTGACCAAGGTCACTCCACCACAGAGGCCAACTTGTAAAAAAAATCAGTCTTTAAACATTACAGATATAGAGGTGCTCAAGAACACACTGACCGACTTTCCCCACAGATGGCGTTCGGAAACACAATACACAGACCTGGCTTGAACTGCTACATGATGGCTTTATCAAACCATCATGAGCGAAACGTTTTCACTGCCAAAAAAAAGCCCACATATTGAATCTTTCCATCCACACCTGTAGGCATTACACCCGAACCTCTACTTTTCCCCAGAGATAAGTGTTACAGTAGGCATTGTGCAGCTGGTCCTTGAATTCCATTTTACGTAGTGATACACTGAGACATTCACTCATAATACAACAAACAGCTAGTTTAAGACGCTGTATGCTAGTAGAATTTCCATTTTTATGACTTAGTAACGAGATGTGCAATACTGAAATGGATTTATATAGGCATGCTTAAAGAAGGAGAATCTGTATATATTCAAGTTCAAAGAATAATCTGTATAAGTGAGGATTGATATAACATGAGAGGTGATTCAGAGGTGAATATCACTGTTCATCTCACTGCTCTGCTGTGATAAGAGAATTTCACCTCTATAATTTGACTTCTAGGGCTCAAATTCGTGCAGTTTATCAGTGTATAAGAGAGTAAAGGAAACTGTGTTTTTCGTTCATTAATAAATATATACACTGGCAGTATACAAAGTGTCAGTATACTTCTGTATTTAATCAAAGTAAACTGACTTTAAATAACTGTTAAATTTAAGTTAAAAAATGTTTCACTGCTTAGAATTTAGAATGTGACTCTAAGTCAAAATGGATATTTACAAGGAGCTGCAAACACGGTAAAAACATCGT